TTCTATCTTAACTGTCCCCGAGTTTTTCTTCAAAACACTCCTTCAGCATTTTTGAAAAATCAGTTGTAGGTCCTACGACGTATCGAAACACATTTTCCCTCTGCAGCCTAGTCGTTAAATAATACTTCTTTGGGTCGGTTGGAATTTTTCCTGAAAAAGTCAGCCTGCTTTACCCATCCTAGTACTGTAGTTGCGATCGATATCGGGGTTTGAAATAACTCATGATTAAAGGGAAAAAATACGCCGGCAGTAGAATTCGCCTATTTTTGTTGTCAAGTTTTCTTCTTATAGCAAAGAAGCCCGGATTATCATTTCAGCAAAAAGCGATCTCTCGCTTCCCAGCTTTCTTCCTAATTATTATAGTTTCTTTTATTTCAGTAAAAAAATTTCAAACGATTTTTTTTTCTAAATAAATTGCCAAGTACTTAATTTAATCAATAGACCTATCGACTGTGCATTTAAGTTAGGTATAAAGGTTAAGCTTCCGTCTTTCCATGGACCTATTAATAAGGTCTTTCTAATGTCTCTATAAAATGGGCAAACAAGAGGAAATGGAATTACATCCTCTAAATTTAAAGAATCGCAAAATAAACAATTCATTCCATACATCGCGCTGTTGACGTATTTTGAAAGTCAAAAAGTTAATTGAAAAAAAAAAAGGAAACAGAATAACATGAACAGAATCAATTAAACCCCAAGGTCGTTGAACTTTTTTGATATTTCCACGACAGCGTAAGTTCATGTTATGCTCACGTCATAAAAGTGCAATAATAGTATAAAAAAAAACAAGAGGTACGTTTAAACAAATAGAAATATTTATGTTGGGAATTTCTTTTACGAAATACAATAAATATGAAAATTCAAAGAATTACATTGCTAAATTTGCCAAAATTACGAGATTCCATTAAATCTTAAGGAGACAAATTCGAGACCAAAACGTTTGTTCCGACAATAGAGGTGTCCTCTGAATAGGGGTTGGTACAGTAGTGGTAACAGATATCAAGGTAATTCAACAAAATTACGCACATTACCGCTCGCGAACATTTTATAGGCCTACCTTGTTTCGAGAATTAATTTTCTAAAAGATTGTCAGAGGAGGGTGGAAACAAAACTAAAATAAAATTTAGTTTACTTATTTACCAAATAGCTTTGCCAAAAACATCCAGACGGAGCGAAAATAAAATTTTTATCGGTGAATGATAAGCAGTGTAGTAATGGGATGGTTAAATACTTATATACCGGTAATTAGGGAGAAATATACATATCTTATGTTTGGAGATTTCAAGGCAGCAGCGGGCATAATAAAAAAATTTTTAAACTTCAGATTTTTTTTTAAAATTCAAATTTTTCGTGACGGCGAGTACGCTAATTGGCCAAATATAAAATTTATTTTTACTTGATATAATTATTGGCAGGTTATCTAAACAAGGTATAAAAAAAGGTTCACCTTAACGTTCACATGGGCCATATCGCACACAGGACCAAAGGCATAAAACATCTCATCCAAATGATGGTGTGGTGCGCTACTGCTTCCTTCCTTTTTCATTCTTTCATATTCTTTACATCGCCTTTTTATTCTTTTCATTTTCTTTATTTCCATTTTCCTTCCTTTTCACTTTAATTTCCTTCTATTCATTTTGCTTTCTTATCTTTTCATTTTGCTTTCTTATCTTTTCATATCTTGATTACAGCATTTAACAAATGCACAGACACTCAGTGATATTATGTTGGTATTTTATTCCCACTCGAAGAGCAAAAACAGTCATTTAATTTAGAAAAATATTGCAAATTTTGCTACAAACTGTTTTTTTTTTTTTTTTTTTTACTCTGGGTGAATATTGCTAAATCTTCGACCTAAAACCTCTGTTTAAAAAAACCTAACAAAAACACAAACTTATATCAAATACAGTAATAGTGGTCTGCCTCTAGCCCTTCACTTTTACAAGAATCATTTAACTTTTGCTTATAAATTCTAAAATAATGATAATCATATTTGATCAATTACTGCATATATTTGCAAGTATTTCTAATTTGCATACTTTATTCATTTAAATACCAGATGTTTACTAATTTGCATACTCTAGGCCTATACCATTTGAGCAATATCAGTATAAACCACCTAAGATCAATCACACATTACACTCCAAAGCAGTTATTGTACAATGTTGAAATTTATGCAAACTGTTGGAAGAACAGTCTCGATTATAATTAATGAGAAATAATAATTATTGTTGGTAGTAATTAAAACAAATATGTTAACAGCATATCTTATCAACACAAAGTTTTGTTTTGCTACCACAAATGTTATCAGTATCAGTAAAACATAATTGAAATCTTTTATGAACTGTTCAAAGATATAAGAGATAACAGAAATTTTATGCATATAGCTAAAAAAAAATTTACACTACGGTAATAATAAAGAATAACATTAATAAGAAGAACTACCAATTAAAATAATAATGTTGCATGTAAGTTAACTATTTAAATTACAAAGAATTCAAAATATCAAAATAATAATAATAATATTTAACTGGTTTATGAAATATATAACATAATAACATTCTTTTTACACAATAACAAATAATAATTATAATCTAATTATATAATTACATAAATCATTTTAATTAACATATGTACATATAAAATATCAAGGTTAACTAAACACATTATATAATTTTCATGACTACAACATAAAAAATATTTTGCATGCTTGACAAACAGCAAGTGTACACTAAAATTATATTGATTGTTCATTAGCATATTCATAAGTTTATATTAATATTTATAAGTTATATTAATATTTATTAATAACAGCTTCAATGGCTATAAGCAATACATAGTTAATATAGATTATATATTTAAGTTTACAATATAAGTAAAATATTACAAATTTACAAATCAATTTTAAAAATGAAGACAATAATTAGAAATAAAATATTATACACTAACATATTATTAAGATGTTTAAATTAAAATTTAGGGTAAAAAATTATGGATCTACAAATACAGCAAGTTGAAATTAAGTACACATAATTTACTCACATCTACAGAGGTCATCTAATGGTCAATAAACTACTCTAAATAGTCAATGAAACAAAAATCAATATTAATTTAAGTTATGGTTCATGGTGAAATAGAGGTTGTGTGAACTTGAACACATGTATCGGATAATGTGAACTAATACATACACAAAAATTAACACTGAGTGTTCACACTCGTTAAATTGAGACCAATGTAAACATACGTAAGTGGTCTGATTGGTTCTTAGTGGTTATGTTCTCAATCGTAGCGAAGGGACAGAGACAATTCTGTTCTTAAAAAAAATGTCATATTAATATAAATATCTCAAAGTATGGTTGCTATCTAAGCAACACAAATATTAATATTTATATATGTTGCCAACATCAAACCTTTTAGAAGATGTTGAGTCAGATAAAATTTATATACTTTAATATTTAATTCAGCCCACCATAAACAGGAATGTAATACAATCTTATACAGGACAACAAAAATTACTATGATACATCGATATGTAATGAGCAGGTTAGTAAATTAAACAACAATACATTTGCTACTAACGTAATGTAATTCAACATGTTTTTGAAATGTTGATAGTTTGGCTCATGCCATACAGGTTTCTACCATCATGAAATAAATACAGTATGTCATTTCTTTTTGTGAGAATATGTTAACAACATTAACTTTTATTACAGAGCAAAATGTAAACAAATGATTCTATGTTTCATAGAAGATATATCAGCTTAACTGATATAGTAAATTGAGTATGGCCAGTATTGTTAGCTGTTTTTGTAAACAATAGTTACAAAAAATGGCAAAGAAAAACACACAAACACAAGCAAATAAAAATATCTAGAAGTTAAGTATGAAAAAAAAAAAAACTTTTAAAAAGATAATACATGACATCAGATAGGATTGATTATTCCACTGGAGATGTTAATATCTACACTACCAGCAAACAAACATACTTAAAATGATGTTTAAAAATGTCACACGTTCTTTGTGTTGTAAAAGTGTCTTCCTCAAAAATGATTTCGTCCATACTTGTAGTTTAATAAGTGATGTTTCAAAATGTCCTAAAAGTACTACGTCCATATCTAATGTTGTATTATATAGTTTATCACATGTGTATTTATCTGTACAGATACTGTTCAAACATCAAGAAGGCCTTATCACTATTATGAACTTCATATTATTTGTAATATTTGTCCAGAATTAATTTTGTGAACATAACTAAATTCAAGATGAATAGAAAATTGCATCAAAATTTTAAATGACATTAATTTACTTGTTTTTGTTAGATTAAAATTAGAAAATATTTGTATGGTGGTATAAGATATATGCGATACAAACTAGATATCTAGAAGATTATATAGACATCCTCAAACAACACCCAAACATTTCTAGAAAACCATTGATTAATAATGTCTTGTTCTGATTCAGCACAAACATTCTAATTATAAGAATTATCCGAAGATAAGGTAGAATACGGAGATGTTATTACTATTATTTTAAACAAAGCATTATGGTTGTGTAAAGCACTCGTGCTAGAATAAGAAGGATTAAAGTCAGTACCAAGTAAGCAGATACCTTAAACGCTGTAGGACTCTGTTGTAAACCAAAGCCCGCACGCAAAACTCTGATGAAAATGAAGAAGAAAACTAATTGATAAATGATTACAATGTATTATATTTCAGAAAATACATTAATGAAAGATTAAGTATTATTAGTAAGGTGTACCAATAAAATCCACCATGAAGAGGAATTAATAATTCTAGTCTCATGTGTTCTCAATTTTGTTAATTGTTGTAACAAATACTAATATGCAAATCATATTGTAATATGCAAATCATATTGTAATATGCAAATCATATTGTTATGTAATGAACATTGACAGAGCTATTTAGAATACAGTACAAGATTAGATAGGAAGCTTAATCATTTCAATGAGTTTTTAACTTGAAAATGAAGAACCAACAGATGGCTTATTACAACATAATCAATAATGGAGAAAGATTTAATATATTTAATATATGTGGATATGTTTAGAAAACCCTTTGTTCTTGATTTGTTGTATGGTTTAGGTATTATTGGCACCCTCTAAATTCTTCAAATGAAATATTTAAATAAATTACACCTTGAATTCCTAATATTTAATATGACCATGTTTGATAGGAGATTAACAAATTAATTATAAAGAGATTAAATGGCTTCTAGTATGCTAATATAGGGCCACATTATACTTAATATACTGTACTAATATTGTTAAATTTTAATCCATTTTTATGTAAATTAAAACCTGTTTTTATGAGCATAAAGAGTCTTTGTATTTTTTATACATTAATATTCAGTGTTAAAAACATAATTAGTGTATATCATCACTAAAGGTGACAAGATATAACTAATTAACATATTAAGTGAACAGAATATTAATGACTAAATGACAGCCAATAGAGGACAGCACACTATAGATTTTTAAAAAAGTTATCTAATATCCTACAGAGTACATTAGGAAATTATATTTGTTTGAATAAAGTGTCTCTCAAACAAACAGCATATTCATAACTACAAGCAACGTAGGGCAGTTTACAGTGTGTTTTATAAAAGTTATCAGAGTTTATGTACAGCACATTAAATATTTGATCAGAAAAAAAAGTTAAGGAAATTATAATATAAATACAAGAAACAGAGGGCAGTATACAGTTTTTTTTTAAAGCTTTCCAAGGTCCTACAAAATATATTAAATAGTTAAATGATCAGAAAAATTGTTACAGAAATTGTAACTTTGGTGGAATAAAGTATCTCTTTAAATAAACAGCATATTCATAAATAAAAGCAACAGAGGACAAGTCTGCATTTTTTTTTATCGAGGTCATACACAGTACATTAGAAAAAAGTTACAGAAATTATGGTAATTTTGGTGGAATGGTAATTAAAACAAGATAATCTTTAAAAAAATACACACAGAAAAAGAAAATTACATTACGGGCTTAGTAAGTAGAGCATAGAGAACTTTTCATAGCAGAAAACAAAGACAATCCTAATCATGTCACTCTAATGTTTGAACATGCAAAAATGGAAGAATATCAAATGCATTTCATTATTAAAAAACATATATGATTGTACAATCCGTTATATAAAATCTTGATACAAAGTTACTTACAAAAGCTAAATTTAATTGGACTTAACTATTTTAGAAAGGTTTAAACTATGGTAAGAGATCAAGTAGTCTGGTAGACAAGGCTATTATACACATAACCTTTGGACTTTGGAATATGTAGCAAGATAAATGTGGTTGAAAAAGAATGTAGTAATGATGTCATCATTATTTCATCAGTAGATTTGATGCAGATTATTTAACTGATTTCATTGGCGGATTTAAATTGAGCCTTTTAGTAATGATGGCATTAGTATTACATTTTGTGAGAAGAAGCAATAGACACTAAGATCTTATAAATCAATTTTGTTGACTTAGTATAATTCAAAGCCATTTTAGATGATAACATTGCTTTCATGTTAGATGATAACATTGAATTTCATTAGCCAATACAGCAATGTTTGATTCCAATATTATCTTGTGTTAATAGAGCCTTTGTAAGTTTTAATGATGTCCTTTTGTGATGACTACAATAGATGCAAATTGAGACAAATGGTTGGAATGATTTTCATTGGTTTGATTCAACAGCATTATTAAGAGTTTAAAACCAGAAAAGCGCACAGTTCTGTTTGAAAATATGTCATGCATCTATAGTTACACCGTAAAAGTTGCAATCGTCACCATGGAAGTGCACTCACTATATACTCTGATTGTCTACAACAGAGACAGTGGATATGTTGCAACTTCATAACGACTATAAGCATATAACATTATCAATTGTGTGGAGAACAAATCAAACTAACAATCAAACGCAAGCAGTGGATCTCTCATGGGTCTATTGGAGGTATATCGTTTGTTTATAGAAAGTGCAAACTGTGCTCTATTCTATACTCTTTTGATTAAATCAGAGTGTTGCAGTTGCATCAGATTTTTGTTCTTGTTTTCTTACAGAAGGTTTGGCAGACATATTGCAGTCATTCAATACTCCAATTTAGATAGGTATATATCGCAGACAGCTTAAAATCCATAAATCAATTGTTGGTTGTATGTAAAATACTGTAATTAAAAATCTGGATAAACCAATTTAATGAATTTATCCAGTACTCATTTTACACATTAGGTCGTGAATTGTTGAATTTTGGATATTGATGTTGTTAAAAGTTCTATTTGATGTTTAATGGTGTGCAGTCTGTGTTAGAGGAAGCAACTATCACTGCCACTACCTTGAGTTGTCAGAAAGTCTCCAACTACTCTTTGGAATTTCTGTGTTTATTTCAGCACTGACATTTACAGTTTTTGGAACTGGTTTACTGTAAGCCATCTGAAGCAACAGCTGCCGTTGTTTGACAGAACGGAAAACTACATCTTCCTGGTCAAGCCCACTGGATCTCGAAGACCAACTACGATGTCTAGACTCATTAGAAGGAGTCAACTGAATGCTGGAAACGGAACTGCAAGAGCTGTGTCGAGTAAGCTTGGTTATTTTGGAATCCACTTCATCATCTTCGCTTGCAGCTTCTATGTTTGTTGCTATCAATTTCTCAACTTCCTTATTCGTTTTAGGAATTGGTTTTGTGACACACTTCTCCAAATCTTTTTGCCGTTCCTTCAAAGATTTAAACTTTTGTGGAAGGTCTTTTATTTCATTTTTCTTTTGATATGTTGTCTTTTCTTTGATGCTGCGCAGACGATCTTTGATACTTGGACCTCTTTTGAAATCCCCAACTGGTTCATCAGGTGCATCTTCAAAAATGCGAAGACTAAGTTTTGCATTACTGATAGTTTCTGCTGATTTTGATCTCTTGATGGCACTTGTTCGATAGATTTCTCTACTTTTTCTTTCAGTTTCATCAGCTTGAGAAATGCCAAGCAACCTGCTTTCTACCTTTATTGCACTCTTCTTTTCCTCTTGCGCTGTTTCCTTTCCTTCAACAATTGATGGCACAGTTGGATCAAATACTGGTACCTCTTCCTCATGATATGTTGGAGATGACTTATTACTTTTTACAAAACTGGACCCATTGTCTGTCTTATTATGCATCACCTCAGTTGTTGGTTTATCATTACTTTGGTCATTATCAGAATTGAAGAGACTAGCAATTGCTGGTCTTGATGTACGTTTTACACGCTGACTATAGTCTCTAGCCATTTTAAAAACCTTGGACAACCTCATATTCCTGCTGATTGCACTGATATCTGCAGAGACTGTCTTGTGTAATGACTTGCCCGAGTCGGTTTGTGTACTCACCTTTGATTTACAATCAGAATCTTTCGACCTTGGGGATTGCTTGACCTGGACAGGCTCATTATTCTTGATAGTTTCTTTAGCAAAATCATCATTAGAGCTCTGAAGCTGGTGGGCATCACCAGATGCACACAACCCATATTCAATACTATCTTCAAAGGATTCCAAGATACTCTCATGTGAAGAGCATGTCTGATCCAAACCAGATGACATAATGCTAGAGTTTGACTCACTCATATTTCCTTCACCAGTTTTATTCAGTACTGGCTCAGATTTTATTTTGGTAGAAAGGAAGTTTGGGTCAGATTGTGCTTTCATCACTTTTGGCAAAGTCTGATATCCACTACTGACAGATCTGGAAAGAGACCGTCTTGAGTGTGAAGAATTTGTCAATATATCAGCACTTAAAGGTCGATCTAATGGCCTGTCTCCACTGACACGGACTCCTCGGATTATAGGTCTTTTGATCCAAACATCTTCACTGTCTAATTCGATCGATTCAGCTTTCTTGGGTTTGAGGTCTTTGATGTTGGATCGAAGCTGAAATGGAGAGGTCTCCTTCTTGTTGCCCATTTTTACCCCTTCTTCTTGGATAATGTTCTCTATTGTATCATGCAGGGTTTCAAGAATGTCAAGTTCGTCAGGACTGTCTTCATCATGTTCTTCCATCTTTACTTCTTCAACATTATTCTTCATATTTGGACAGGTCTCCTCTATTGCTTCAGGTTCTGGAAGTGGTTGATCATTATGTTCATCTAAATCATCATCTAGAAAGAACAGAAATATTGGTATATTTTAATCTATAACCAAATATTTAGGTGACAAAATAATGTTAAAGGCTGAGAAAAAAATACATTAAACACTCATTAGGATTTGAATTCAAGATATTTAATTAAGACCTATAAATTAATTAATACATTTCAATTTAAAGAAGACCTCACCTGTTTGTTCATCTTTTGGAAGATCAATATTTTGGTTCTGATGATTGTTGGTTTCAACTTGTGACATTTCAGTGGTGTCGTCCTTTAACGAAAAAATATAGTAAACACTCTATTTATATCTAACAAAATTGAAGGCAAAGTAACTTTTTACAAATGTATTTTCTTCTAATGACTGCATTTACATTTTAAATGCAAGAGTATTGTTCTGGTATTTTTAACGATGCTAAGAATAGAAACTTTACAACATGTTATATATGGCCTCATAGATCTCATGTTTCCCGTGAAATGTGAGTCTTCTAAAAATCAGCACAATCTCCAAATCCATTCAACTGTATCGAGTGTGCATAAGAACGTTAAGATAAACACATGTTTTGATCTTGGTAATGTGACGGTTACCATTACATGTACACTGTAACTACCCAGATATTTGGATGCATTTTCTTTGGAGGAATAAGATTAAATAATATTTAGGAAATATAGGCATCAAAACTTAATAATGTTTCGGTTTTCAATAGTTATCATATATTTTTTAAAGCATTATGACGTGACCTTTTTGCCGTTCTGCAGGCTAGACCGAACATCATCTGCAAACTATTGTGAAATTAGGAGCACAAATATATTGAAAGCTGCTGAGATGCCATCGTCAAAGGCATGAGCTAGGTGTTAATACGGGGCGTAGTAAGTAATAGCCTTGTAGTAAATTGCAGTTTGTTGCATTGGTATTGTAATAAATCCCCACCCACGCCGTACAACGGGCGTCTAAATAATAGAGAAGTGAAGACACTGCCTCACATTTGTTCTGCTGGATTAGGCCAACGCATATTAAGCAACCTGAGCAACTGACTTCATAAAGAATTAATAACCAATTAGTTCTCGATTTACATGGTATGTCGGACCGCGAGTTCCGTATTTTATAGCAACTAGCTCATGAATAAAACTGCTTATGTCACATAAACAGCCACTCGTGGAATATCGTCAATTTTACACAAATTGCACTCGCGATACGCTCTCGAGTAATGGCTATAGACATTCAAACAGTACTGTACCATATCGTCTGCAAACTTATAATGTTTACACCAGCAAAACACAGCAAGATTTCTTAAGTAAGCTATTTAAACTAGCTTCTCCCAACTTGGGACCCCTGCATCCAATATTTGGTGATTGTACTGTTGGATTTGAGAGAAATTTTTAAAGTACTGAACCAATGAATATATTTTTACCTTGTCGTTAACTTGGACAGTACTTAGTCTGTTAGGCGAGTTTGAGCTCTCACTCTCACTCATGGATTCTTCTGTACTACATATTCCTTCAGATCGTACCAAGCTACTTGCTCTCTTATTTGTCATCTAAATGGAGGAAAAATTAAATTATCTTGAAGGTCTTTAAAATATACTCCATATAAAATTAATATCATTTTACAAATTCAAATTATTTTACTGATTATCTTAATCTATTAATAAATTTTGATTCTAAGATTACTTAATATAATAACTAATCTTGCTTTTATCAATTATTAACTTCAATGTATTAATCTTCTATTCATCAATTTACTTAGTATTTATATATTAATCTTGCTTCTATTAATAATTAATCTTAGTCTAATAATTTCTATTTTGATATACTTTATTTCTATTAATTTTTCTTAAAATATTAATCTTGCTTTTACTATTAATTCATCCTGATATATAAATTGACCCTTATCTGTTTAATATTTATTTACATAATATACGCAAAATGAATAAAAATAAACAAGCAAAATCAAAAAAATAATCTAAAAAGCAAAGCATGAATTTGTTTAATGATCATTTTGCACTACAGACGTTGTCCTTATGAACAAAAAGAAACATTTAATTATAAATGGCTGACCAATGTTTATACCAAAGCTGGTCAAGTAACAGAATATTGTATTAGTTGATTGTCAACCAGTTATATTCAAGTTTATGATCACATAAAATAAATTATCATTCAAAATAAAAACCAAATAACGTAAAAACAAAATTGTCAAACTTCAACACCTCTTGTTTATTAATGAAGTCTCCTCAAAAAACCTAATTTAAAACCTTTTAATTTTATATATTTGCTTTTAAATTCAAATGTAAAATATCCATGCACATTTGAAAATTAAAGTCATCTTTAAATATTAACATAGTTTCATTCATAAACAGAAATAATGTGCATAAAGGAATCATAAAAAACACAAGAATAGGATACATAAAATATGAATATACACATGCAAACTGCATCACAACCATCATACAATAAATTTACACATCCTGAAAATGTTGCATACAAGCATTGTAAACATGCGCCCTCTATATTTCAGCAACAAAAAATAAGCAAAAGAGGGTGCAGTTGATAATGGGCAAATAAACACAAGCATTACTGTATAATCAATACTGGTATAATATACATTCCAGACTGTTAGTACCATCAACACGGAAAAGACCAGCACACTTTGCCTGCCATCTCTATCTAAAGATTCATTTCAAATTTGAATTTCCAATGCCGGATAGAAATTTTATTAAAAAAATATGTATCTAAACTTTCATTTTTGTATAACGAGGCGCTATATACTGGTTTTTGCAACTATTTTCGAACACAATTTTTTACTTAAATTAGGAGTAGAAAAAAAATCTTTCATTAATTTTTACTTAAATGTTTGATTTAATAATTGACTTATTTGAGAGGGTTCCAATGTGCAATGCCAAATGTAGTCTCATGTAATAATTCATTACCATGAAGATATGAAACAAGGTACATGGTACGTAAGCACTACAACATTCATAGCCATTTGTTATATTCTGAGAATTGAAATTACCATAAAAATAATACTGTTCAGCCATTTTTTGTTCAACAACAAAAGAGAAGGAAGACTACCAACATGGTACTGTTATTAACTGGAATATGAATAGCACCCTTATTATATTACTTATGTTACTGTAACTGTGTAAACAAAACTAAATTATGGAACTTATATTTTTAATTTTGAGGCCTAAAATCAATCTTGCATAACTTTTTAATTCATGATGTTGGCCAAGATGCAAAATGTTGCATTCTACAGGCAAAGTGTGTGGTCATTACCATCAGCTTTATGTAGCTCACCCTTTCTATTAAAATCTATTGAATCACTAAAAATCGCAGCTCTGAAAACGAATAATTGGTAAGAAAGGAATGATATTAATAATTAATAAGAATGTTAAATAGATATTGGATAAAAATCAACTACTGTAGCTATAATAAATAACATTTCCTTGTAATAATCTAATCTGTATATCTCAGAGTTCCACACTTAAATTTTTATTCTGTTCTGCCAGAGATGGCGTCAGGCCTCCCGTCGGGGAGAGCGCCCCCACTCCCCTGGCCGGGAGAAAAATATTTTTACATATTAGTAGGCTCTAAATTTTTATAGTTTTCAGGTTATGCCCGCTGACCACCTCCGAGGGATTTTGAACAATGCTCAACCATGCCCATTTATGCTTTTGTAGATGACATCTGATTCCATATTAGGCAATCCTGGCACCACCCCTGCGTCCTACTCATCTCAGACTCACTCCCCCTTCATCCTACTGGCATGCTTAGTTCTAATTAACCCTTCCTTGTCCTGAACACTTAAGCCTGTGCACCTGCCTATCTATTTTAAAAGTACATGATGGAATTAACAGTGAAATTCTAATGTAACCATAGTATGTGTTCATTATAACCACAACACATTTATGTGAGGAAGACACATTACAAAATGTGCTATGATAATAGATATGATGTTAAGATGATTATAGAATTATAATATCATAAAATTCTTACCAATTTAGCTACATCAGGTTTCTTCATTCCTGAAAATATAGGAAATTCGAAGAAAATTAGAGATAAGTAATAATGATGTAGGAAGAAAGCAATATAATATTTTCAAAATTATATAATGTTACAGTACATATTTAACAAGCAAGTGCCTTGACCACTACAGCAGTGGATGTGTGCGCTTTATAAATCTGATTATTAACAAAATTGTATTTCAATTTCTACAAACAACTTTATATTCTGATAAATAATTATTTATTAATGTTGCTCAAATATGAATTATTATTTTTCACCTTTGTTATTTAATTTTGTTAAGCATTTGCCAATAAAAGATGAATTTCCTTATTTGTATTAAGATAAGGACAATAAAGTTATTTATCTAATATAAAAAATTATTTTAAAAATCCAAACATCTAAATAAATCATTTAAAAAGTGTTCATGTTTTATTAGCTGATAATTGTTTTATTGATATTTTCATAGACATAAAGCATTTGGTTTTTGTCCACCTAATAAGCTCGGTAACTATTATCAATCAATATTACCACATATAAAAATAATAATATTATGAGTTGCATTGTGTACACAAGCGTGCGTATCAGGTTCACTATAATATCTTAACCTGTGTTCACATTATCATGTTTAATGTGGCATGTGATTTGTTATGGATATGACATAATGCCCATATATAGGTGTAATATGACATCATATTCATACCATATGGCAATCACACATATAATGCTGCATAAAACTAAACCTAATAGAGTAGACAGACCTTACTACCTTTTTCTATTGACCACTATTCTAGGCTAGTACCATAGAGCTAATCAAATTATTTACCATAAGTGAATGAACCTATATAAATATAATACATAATTATTATCATGTTGTTATGACTGCAAACACCAACAATTTCGTTAATAAACATGCTTAAAGTATATAAATTTAATTAGATGCTATTAATATAACTAATATGAAATAAAACATTAATATATAACATTTTTTTAGTAGATATTCAATCTTTACTAATGAGGTTAATAATTATTCAGTCATGCGTATTTCCTCAAAATAACTACAATGATACACTGCATATTAATATAGAATCCTACTTGGATTTGAACCAATCACCTACATAGACTAGACATGGTATAAATTTCAAGCTTCACATTTGTTAAACAATTCATTACAAAATAACAGACACAAAAGCATAAACTACTAGACAGGGTAGGATTTGGAGCTTGCAAGTAAACAATAAACATCATTATTTCATATACTTTATGTATTAACAATAAAAGACATTTATAAAATAATTAATTATTTGCTTATACTAATTTTTGCTTATTAACAATTTTATGGGTGGTGGAAGAGCGCAGTATTATTTTTTAAAATACAATGTCAAATTTAATGAAAGAAATGTTATTTGGAATGATAACTGATTTTAGTAGAATTGTACATGAAAATAGAAATATCTAATTTCTTTAATTTGTTATTTTTGCAAGTGGTTGCAATATTACTTAAATATGACATGATTCTCTTGCACATATCAAACATATCCAACACACACGAACAGAGTTATAATATAATTAATTACTTCCATATATTAGATTGTTATTTGCTTAATAATTTCATGAGCAGTGGATGAGCACAATATGATATTTAAAAATATCATTATCTAAATTAAAGAAAAAAAAAGATTTTAGTAGAATTCTACACGAGAGATGTATCTACTTCCATTCACATGTCATCTTTGGACATGTTTGCAATATTATTCAAAATATGATTTGATTCTCTTGCAAATAACAAACACACTCCTACACACACTTTCACACAAGGCTGCTTATTTTAGCTACCATTATACTACATCTTCAAAAGATAAACATTATCCTGACTGAAGTTTAGCTGTACATATGCACATGATATATTTTCCATATGATCAGATAAACAGGTACTTTCCTTCATGATATCTGTTTTGTTTGGATACATGTCAACATATTTAAATGTTATATGTATTTGTATTGTTTACTTCCATTGCAGGTCCCGGGTCAATTGCTCCGGGGTAAAGCCAACTCAATCAACACATACAACAACACACAAAATTTATCAATTTCATCATGTGAAATTTTTTTAAATAACACGAGAATAATTAGTTACCATTGCAACAGCGGCATATCTAGGGGATGTGCATGCCCCTCCCCCTCCCCACCCCCCACCACCAAAAGGTTTGCACCCCTCAGTTTCCACCATTTGAGATGACTGAAGCAAAAAAAATATGCTCAAGTAGTTCGCGCATTATTTTGCAAGATAGTATCCCTCATTTAATCATCGAGCCTCTATATCTGTTTCGCACTCCCCATTTCAAGACCCCCGCTCCCCCCATTTCGAAACTCCTAGATATGCCACTGCAATGCAAACACAAAAGGCAATCAACTTAACAAGCCAAGGAAAATAAAAATGATGAATAATGAATAGAAAAAATGTAAAGCGATGGAAAATCACAAACCTGTCTCTTATACACATCTAGATGTGTATAAGAGACAGCTCCTACACACACTTTCACACAAGGCTGCTTATTTTAGCTACCATTATACTACATCTTCAAAAGATAAACATTATCCTGACTGAAGTTTAGCTGTACATATGCACATGATATATTTTCCATATGATCAGATAAACAGGTACTTTCCTTCATGATATCTGTTTTGTTTGGATACATGTCAACATATTTAAATGTTATATTTATTTGTATTGTTTACTTCCATTGCAAGTCCCGGGTCACTTGCTCCGGGGTAAAGCCAACTCAATCATCAACACATACAACAACACACGAAATTTATCAATATCATCATGTGAAATTTTTAAAAATAACACGAGAATAATTAGTTACCATTGCAACAGCGGCATATCTAGGGGATGTGCATGCCCCTCCCCCATCCCCACCACCAAAAAGTTTGCACCCCTTAGTTTCCCCCATTTGAGATAACTGAAGCAAAAAAAATATGCTCAAGTAGTTCGCGCATTATTTTGCGAGATAGTATCCCTCATTTAATCATCGAGCCTCTATATCTGTTTCGCACTCCCCATTTCAAGACCCCCGCTCCCCCCATTTCGAAACTCCTAGATATGCCACTGCAATGCAAACACAAAAGGCAATCAACTTAACAAGCCAAGGAAAATAAAAATGATGAATAATGAATAGAAAAAATGTAAAGCGATGGAAAATCACAAGGAAAAGAAGTAAAACCGTTTGTTTATGAGCCAATAGGAAGGAAGAACAGGCACGGAAATGAATGGCATTGATTAAAAACCATCAACTCAAAAGACTCACCCATTGTAGTTGGCGGTTCGTTTGTCTCTGTAGGGGACACTGTTCATGTGCAGAAATTTTAAGAACAGAATTAGACAAAAAGTAACACAAAATAAACACCATATTCGACTGTGCTAAAATCTTGATCAAATTCAAACATAGCTCAAAATAGGGATTGATTATTTTAAATTTTGTAAAATTATTAAATATATACTTTCAACTTATTTATAACTTCAACAAGTTATGCAACATTGTGTACAAAGAATTATAATTTTGGAAATGGAGACAACTAATAATTGTGAAAAATGTTTATCATTGTTATCTATGCTGTCTGTATTTCAATCCCATAATGCAATGTAGTGTTTTATTATCACAATAAGCTTGCAGACATAGATGCTAGATATAATTTTGATTGTCTGTGTCTACAGACACTCATTAAACAAAATATACAAGAGGTTAGCAAAGTCCAATAGACAAGAAGACTAGGACAGTTGTGACTACAAACATAAATTCCAACCACCTTTTCAAAAAAATAAAATGAAAACAATATCAGGCAAAGCAGGCATAAGAATAAATATATTTCAAGACATTCAAGTTTTGTAAATCTAATAAATAAAAGTGAAAAAAAAAATGGAATACAATAATGGAGTTACAAAGAACATTCAAACAATTCAAATGTAATCTTTAACAACTTCAGGTTTTTTTTTTTAAATACTTTTAAATAACCTTGTGTTGTCTTCTGGAATATGACTATGAACAGCACAATTCAAACCACAAGTTGGGAAAAATATGCACTCCCATATTTTAATTATCATTGTCTGGCAGTAAAAACCACATTTTGAAATTACAGTACACAACAAACCTTAACTTATAATCATTAAGTAGACTTAAATTTGCATTCCCTGTATCATAAATAATAATCAACATCAGATATGAAATTGATTAATAGATTTATTCCTTATTTACAATAGATTAGACTCACGAATTGTTGCAAACTGCAATAAGAGTAAAAATAATTTTTAAATTGCGATTCTCATAAGATGGAGTATGGATTACTTAAAATTACAACCATATGCTATGGCTGCCATAATAATAAAATAATGATTTTAATGTTCAATACATGTATTGAACAATACAATTTATTTTCAATTGTACAGCTAAAAAATAGAAGATGACATTGGGAAAATGGTCATGTTTGATAGTTGAAACTAGTATTCTAATAATGCACTTTCATACAGTTATATTTCATGTAAAGAGGACACTAAAAGCAAATGTTTCAAAGTGAAAGAATGGGTTGAAACGTAAAAAAATAATTATTAGATGGAAGTAGGATTCTAATTGAGTATATGAAATTAATAATTGTGTAAAATTTGTACATTAATTCTTTCATTTTATTAATAATTAATTCATTTTTTTAACAAATATGTTTAAGCTTGCGGTACACCACGTAGGTAGTTCTGAAAAGAACTGTTGTAGTTGAGAAAGTCTCAACGTTTCGATTGAGTTGCTTCAATCATCTTCAGGAGAAAAATATTTGCAGAAATTCCAAACGGAAATATTTATATGTTTGGGTAAAGACGCTGGCTGCTGATTAGATGAATAAACTGACCAATGAGAAGACTGCTAGTGAAAGGCTAAAACAAAAGCTATTGTTCGCTGAGAGAAAGGGTGGGAACGCCAAACCAAGGCTTAGTTCCAGTGGCGGGAAAAGGGGTGGGAACGACCAAAATGAAGGCATAGTTCCAGTGTGGCGGGAAAAGGGGTGAGAACGACCAACATTTTTTTTATCGTCCTTTGGAGGCTGTGTTAATGAATTGATATCAAAATTTAATTTCAGTTTCGATTTCAATTTATTCAAGAATTCTGGATCAGAAGTTTTATTATTATTCTATTGAATATTTTGTCCAATTTATTAAATTGTTGCCATTTGTTATTCTTTATATTTTGATGTCTATTGAATATTACATTGTTCTCCTACTTGGGGGCTATTCAATAAATTTGAATTTAAATAATACTTTAACGTGACTAGAAATTAATATTAGAGACGTTACTTCATCTTAAGTTCCATTATTTATTAAAAATAGACCCAATTATCAGTATGTGTATAGAAGTCAACTTTATTAAAAGAAAATGATTGAGTAAAGGAATGCATGAAAAAATAAACATAGCTCTTATTAGTAATGTCAATAAATCAAAGGGATTTTTTTTTGGTTAACTACTTTTGATAACTTGTTTCTAAAAATAAATATGGAAATAGGTTCCCCTATAATAGTACAATCCAATCCACCTAACGATGATAAATGATACCATTTATTGGCAAGAGTTTAACCATTTGCTCATAAAAATAACAATTCTAAGCAAATTGGAAAAGATAAAGGATATAATTCAACATTTAAGAGAACATTAATAGAATTGAGTTGAAATAAGATATAACCGACACTTCTTCATATACATGTGTTGTACATTGTTTGTGTAATCCCATAACTCATGACGAAGTCCCAACAGAGTAAGTCTTGGTTTGTCATGAATCAAGCATTGTGTAAAGATTGGCACCGGTGAGGTTAGGTATTTTGTAAAAAGTGAATTGATTGTGGTCCTTGGGGTATTACATTCAGACATACAGTATTCAAGCATTATGATTTAAAGGTGAGTGGGATTTAACAGGGGCTCAAATATTCAAGATCCTAAAAGGTGATTTAGCCTCCCTTGCGATAACTTTAGCATAAATGAAATTATGTAGACATAAATTAAATATCACATTCAAGTAATGGTATGAAGGCAATAATATCGAATAAACTTCTAGATATCATTTTCAAATATGCATATATAATATATATATATATATAACATATATATAACATATATATAACATATATATGTATATCATGGCATAACAGCTATATAAGGATAGATGACATCATGGATGACATTACAATAAGGACTAAAGACATCACAGACACACTGGAAAGGATGACATCACAGATATAAGAAAGGATATGATATATACAGGGATGATGACATCATAGCTATATAGGGATGGATGGTTTACATGCTATAATTTGATTGATGAATGATTCATTTAAATATAATTTATTCAATAATCTGTTACCTTTGACCTGAACAGTTCCTCGTCTGAGCTGGCTTGGCGGGTCCGAATGCCTCCTCCTGCGACGTTGCTTTGACCGAGGTTTTCTCTTTCTTAACTTAACAGGTTGTTCTTTAGTTGATGTGTCTTTCTCTCCATCTTTTCCTGAGGATCCTACAAAGTAAATACAGTACTAACGTTTGGATAAGCTAAATCCTTATCATCATTGTTACCACCATCACACCATCACCATCAGGGAAATGATAGTTTGTTATCAAAGACTTTTAAGGTTTAATGGGTCTTATTTCTTTTATTAGTTTTACTTTCATTAGTAATTTTAAAATTGTTAATAAATGTTAATGTTTGTTTTAGTTTTTAACCAACTTTTATGTAATATTTCTTATTTATGGGACCCCAATGAAAATAAACCGATTCAGTTTTTTTGGGTTATCCTGAGCTGTAAATGTTTTACTAAATTATCTTTTTATTGTTCATTGTTTTGTTATTTGTAATGTGTTGAATTATGCTCAAATAAATTTGAATTGAATTGAAAAACCAAACCAAATTCATCATAAAAAATACTTGTATGATGTTTGACAATTTTCAAGCTTTAATTAACAAATCTAACATTTAACCATGGACTTGGTTACCATTTTATCAAAATAAAATGCATTGCATGAGTGGTAGTTGGCAGTGCCTATTGGACCAACTAACCATAAACTAATTCTAAAGATCACTGTGGTTGGCTTTTTTTTTATCACCACCAATATGACCATCAACACCAATACCATTTGATTATTGCCATCGCATAATCATCTACCATTATTATTTACCATTATCATTATAGCCAGATAAGACTGTAATCCTAATTAAAATCATGAAACACCTTCCTCTTTCATTATTTATTCCACAATTTAAATTTCACTTACCAGACTGATTGTTGAGTACAATATCCTTGGCTTTACTTGGAATCAGACCTTTGAAGTTTTCTAGAATCATTTTCTTTATTTGATGTGTCCACAGATGTTTCTGCTCAAGACCTTTGGCCTGAAAGTATTACAAGAATATCTTAGACCTTGCTGCAAATTCCCAGACTGGGGACCCAAGCGGGGGTCCCTTTGCCCTCCCGGACCCCGACCCCCCCACCCACTATCACCACCCCTGATAGTGTTGAAAAAGCTTAACACTTTCACATAATATTATACTCCCCTTCCTGTCAATAACTGATAACCTCCCATAGCAACATACAGATCTTATAGAACAGGCAGTAGTTTGAATGCTCTTCTAAATTTTATGAAAAAGGCAATTCAAAAATATGTGATGGGTGACAAAGTTCAGAATGTGCGGAAACTGAAGAACACATTACCACAAGGATATGCTGCTCATCTCGGTTATCAAATGGCATTACAGTGAAGCCGAAAGTCTCCTTCGGAATGTTTTCCATCAGTAACAAGTTGGAACACTGACAAAAAAAAAAAAATATTTAGGAAATATATCAAATGTGTAAATCATTAAAAAAGAAAAATAAAAACACATGACCTGCAAAGTGATACTTCTTGAAAGAAACTGAAAACTGGATATTTTACGGAGAATATTAAATAACATGCATATTATGGTCCATGTGCACATTATGGAATGCAGTACACTATTCGGAATAGAGTAGGGGATTGTTTGTCATTATTACAGAAGGACTCTACTGGAAAAAGTCTTTAGATTTGGTGGGTTATCCCTGATGTGATTCACACCAAAATAGCGTTGGCCTAGTTTTAAAATGTCAAATTTTAAAATTTGCTTACACTATTTTTTGATTTGGTCTTTAACTACCTTGTGCTTAAATTAGAAAATTTATTATTATAAAAATAACAAATAGAAGCTCATTTGGCACCATAGAGAGATGGTCTTTAAATGGAGGTGGTCAATAATAGGAGGGGTTTTATTTTCTTTTATTTAAGAAAGACTTGTATCTTGATATTTAGCCACTTCTTCTGTCATATGTTTAATTATTGTTTAAAATTGGCAATTGGTAAAGGTATGCCACCAGCCACTAAGATTCTTCTAGCAGTTCAAAGTTTAATATTATTTGAAAAAAGGAAAATATCTACATTACCTTAATTTCTGTTTTGATACTGATGTATCCATCTTCTCTGCGCTTAGCAATAAAGAACGCCTTCTCAAATAAATAAACATTACGATCACCTCTGGACCCCTGTAATCTCATTACATCCTGGAGGCAAAATAACAGAAACACCTTAAAAATACTGGGATTAATCATCCATGAAATGAAACGCAAAGCCAATTTCAATGAGAGGGGCATCTCAGTGGAGATAAAGTATTCTAGTATTTTTCTTGAAGAAGAGGGGGTTCAGCTGGGTCATAGAAACAACCTGGCTTAAACATATACTTTATTAATATATTTTCAGATAATGTATGTTCAATATTTTACTTGGTGAAACAAACAACAAAATAAAACATGACTAACAACATACAACTCACAAATTTACCCAGTTTACAAAACAGCTATATCATTATTGACAAAAAAATCATGCTAAAATTAACATATCTAACCCAAATATTTACTATAAAATACCACAACTACTTTAAACAAAGAATAATTAATTAAATTTCAGACTGACTTACATCCTGATATTGCTAATTCCTTTTTATATAATGAAGCTTTTTTTATATGAAATAAAAACTACATTATATAAAAAGTAATACACAATATCTGGCTGACTTACGTCCTGATCTAGTAGTTGGCTCTGAATCTGTTGTACGTGTAGAACTTTGTCACTCTGGGCTTTCATGTGGTTAATCTGTTTTGCAACCTCCTTCATTGCGTCTAGGGCTTCCTCTAAAGTGTCATATATTTCGTCATCAGTGTTAATGTGTTTACACAGATCCTAACATAAACAGAAAAACAAACATAATTCATTTCAGTTCATTTTTATTTGTTTGTTTTTTATCCTGGGTGACACTGGATTGTCTAATGGTTTCCTTTAGTGCCAAGCAAAAAAAATAAAAATAAAATGAAAGCATGAAGAAAAAAAATAAAGAACAGAATAAAGGAAGATAGATAAAAATAGAACAGTAACCAAATATATGATAAGAAAAGGAATCAATAAAAAAAGTTTGATTAAATTATAACAAAACAAAAAAATAATAAGATTGATAATTAAATTTATAATACCTATAAAGTGGATTAAGGCGAAAAGATATAAGGAAGTGGAAATGGAAATCTGAAATTGAAAATAATTTTAAAAGCAGAATGATGCGAGTCTCAAAAAGATATACATAAATATAATTGATTTAAAAACCGTATGTAAAACAATTAGATAAAAAACAATAAATAAATATGGATGACATTGCATGAAATTGGTACATAATCTACCTATCAACACCACCTATCATCAGTGGCACCTTTCACCAACACCCCCCTCAACATCAATACCCCCCCATCGCCAACTCTTCCCTTCATCAACGCTACCTATCATCAATACTATCTATAAATTTATATCACAGTAAATTATAATTAGAAATATCTAGACCTACATCTTTACTTACATGGAACAAAAGATGATACTTTAGGATCCTTTGCACTGGCTTGAGTAGATAAGCTCCAAGGGGCAGGGCGTGGCCTAGCTTGTTCTGGGCGTCTTGGAAGAACTTACACATGACTGGTTGATGGAGACATTTGGTGAGCACCTTCACTGCACTGGGATAATTTGTACAATATTGGGAGTACATTATAAAATCCTCCTCCTAAAAGATACAACAATTAATAAACATTAAAATGATGATTAAAATATATACAGATATATCACACCTCATATTTATCTCAATATTATACTGATTCTGGCAATTGCCTGCTCATTTTGGACTTTCAAATTTTGCTTGACACAAACAAGGTTTTGGAAAATAGATTTAACAATAGTAATATATTTTTTTATTCAGCAAACACAATCATAAACTATGGTAAACTCAAAGATTATATAGACTCTTAGCAATAGATTAAAGCTAGCAAAACACATAAACAGGGAATGGGACTAATGATGGATATTATTGGGAAAAACTGGAGTACTATATAGTAATGGGCTGTTTCACACCCGTTATCCTAATTACAATCCTAGTGTTTCCCCTGGGGTTAATACAGGGGGTTATTTATTATTACCCGGCAGTTATGGTTTCTTCCTTTCATCTTTCCGCAACTACGACAACCATACCTTACCAAGTTTTAGCTTTTGGCTATTTCAAAGCTTTGTAATGTTTTGCTTGTTCAGTAATTCTAGATATTTTTCTACTCATAATTGGCATTTAAGGTTCAGAACACTGGGTAAGAATACTATTATATCACATCTTATCATACACTTATCACATACCATATATACCACCATATGGTGGTAATATATATTCCAACCTTATTCAGAAATTGCATAATGAATTGATATAACTTCTGTTCCAGTCTTTTGACTATTAATGCTACAAATGTTTAAAAAAAAAATGATATATCACCATATGCTGTCAATATGTATTTCAAATTTATTCAGAAATTGCATAATGAATTGATATCAGGCTTTCTGTTTCAGTCTTGTGACTGCCAATACCCCAAATATAAAAAAAAAAATTAAGATGAGTTTGGTCATGACACCTTTTCTATTGCAATTCTTTTAAGGTAAGAGAGGTCTTTCAAAGGAAGCTCTCTATCTCTTGAACATACTTGTAACTGCTACTTTGTTTTCTACTGTACTAGCAAAAGATAATTATAAGATTCTAAAACCCCGGCAGAAAAACACACAGCAGTAAAAACATGTTTTCATAAAGTATGATAAAGCATCATTAAGAATGACTTTGCTATTCTTACAGACAGTTTGAGTTGTTCTAGTTGTTTCATACAAATAAAATTAAGGAAAAAAAAATCCTCAAGAATTCAATGCAAAACATTAAATTGCTCATTAATAAAAGATTAAGTTAACAACTTCCAGAGAGACAGATCAAAATAACAATTGGTACTACAAGGTTCAAGGTAGACTTTAGAAACATTTAGGTTTATTGTCACAACAATACAATAGACAAAAGGCTTTTATTGTACAGCTACTGTACCTTATGTATGACAAATTTTCAAGGTAAACCATAGTAGTTACTGTCACAAATAAAGCAACAATGGATGAGCCAGATTCAGATTCAGATATTTATTTTATTACATCAAAATTGTCAATGCATCATAATAATTAGTTTCTACGGCTGACAATACAAATAAGGCTTATTCACTACTTGTATACATGGATAAGATGACAGAGTTAAATATTGATTTCATTGAATTGGATAGGAAAGAAAACTGCAAATATGAGTTGTGAGAATTATACTTAGGGCCTATACAAACTTGAGAAAAAAAATATACAGGTAGCATAAAAACTTGTTTACTTTACACATAAAGCAGTATTGGTATGATATATTGTGCTATAAAAACACAGGACATAGTACTTGGAAAACTTGTATTTTTGTCATGACTGACATAAGCTTTTGAATACTACATAACCAGGAGAGGATCCACAGTTTCTGGTGGGATGGCATATAGTGCAAAATGAGGACTATAGTCTAAAAAGGGGTTCAGGAGGTGTTCCCTTCCCTATTGTGTTGGTCCACTTTCTAAAAGCTCTTGGTTTTTAGTTTTTTTTAATCTCTTAATATATAAAGGATTTCAAAGTTAATTTTTTTTTGCTGCTTCCAGGGAAAAGAGAGTGCCCTTTTCGCTACATTCTAGATGTAACCGATAACACCAAAAAATTAACAAGTTCATTGCCAGCGGCAAGAGTCCACTTCCAACAGGATTCACTCAGGGCGGCGAGGATACGAGTTCATGTCCAACATACCACACTGTATTAAACATAAATTCGCTGGCAGTGGTCACCAAAACATGCCCTGGAGGTTTAGGGTTGATGGAAATGATTTTCATCATGGTGGTGCCCTTTAAGAATTGGCATATGGGATAGAAATAGGAAAAAATGCTTGGCAGTTACCAATTAATACAGAAGGCAATAGAGCCACAATTAAATTTATTTGTAAGTAATGTAGGACTGATCGGATATTTGGGAAATGAAAGGTAGGCAGAGTTAATCCATAAGACAAGGACAAGTGGGAGGAAGTTATTAAAAGCAATCAGACTACAAACAATGTTAAGATCCATGTCACAGTCAAAATGAATTTTAATTTCTGTAATGAAAAACACAATGGGCAAGGTCACAGAAATGACATACCTGTGGACTGCAGGTATTGTCATTAGCACAATAAAATGGCAAATTGTTTAAATTTATAACTGTTTCTATTTTCTCTCTCTCTCTTTTTTATCCTTCATATTATTCATGCCGGTAATTGAATTAAGGATTGTGAGACTTGGGATTAAAAGGTAATAATCTTAACCACCAAGCTACAGTACAGCTCCACTCAATTACTAAGGAGCTATTGATTGCACGACGACGGTAGGACGTAGAACGTAATGACGTCACTAAAAGTCATCTGCGCATGCGAGAACGCTAAGGTCACCTCGTCGAGTAGATTCTGGAACTCAATTTGGCCAAATCTACGTATGCAGAGAACGTAGGATGCCAGGTAGGACGGTCATGCATGAGCGATTCCGTTCTAGCTCCTTAATATCACAGGATTTGAACCTAGGACCCTGGAATTAGAAGGCAAGCATCTTAACCACAAGCTACGGCTCCACTCCATCAACATTGCAGGATTTGAACCCAGAAATCTAGGATTGGAAGGCAAGCAATTAACCAACAAGCTATAAATCAAACTTTAAAAATAATCAATGGTACAGTATGTCATTATATTACAATCCTTTCCATTATTTTTAATCTTTTAATTGGGACAAAATTTATACGTTGATATTTTTATTTTGATTTCCTTATAAATACATTTCCAAATCCGTTTGTGTAAGAACAGTAGGCTCCTTAGGGAGAGTACTGGAGTATCCAGCGGAAATGATCCATATTTTATATAACTCTCCAAATCAGAACAATTTCCTGTGATATCATAAAATGGAATTTGCAATCAGAACTACAATACTCCAGCCAGATTCTGAATGGTGATTTATGAATAGTGATGATTTTTTGGATAAGCGAGGTCATGTTACTATGTTGTGGCAACTGCTAATCCCATGTTGCTATGAGAATTCCATGTTGCTATGGGTGATGAGATATTTTACATTCATTTTTTTTTATAACTTTGATAGAAAATAAAAAACTTCTGATAAAAAATATAGAAATGTATTGTATGCAAAAATCTATTTAAAAATATTTATTTCATACCATCACTTAAAGTGGGTAGATAGCTTTTATAAATAATATTATGTCTATTCAATAAGAGGCCTTGCAAAAAGTTGGAAAACACCCCCTGGGCAAATGCAGTAAGATAATATATATAATATTATTTCCCAATACTAGAAAGAACATTACAGTATTTCCCAAGACAGAATATAGGCGACAACTCAAGTAAGCCAATCTCCTTCCTTTTAAATACATTACTTAATAGCACTTGACTTCAGTACATTAACTAAAGTATGTTACCAAACAAAAGTTCAATCAATTGGGTATAAAGAATGGTTGGTGTTTTCATGTATGATTTGATTTATAATAGTTTACCACGTTCCTTTAATCAGTATTGTAGTTTATTACATCATAATTATGCAACTAGGCAAAGAAAAAGAGGAGATTTAATTTTACCAAAAGTTAATTTAAATATGTAAAACATTTTTTTCTTATTCTGGTTATGTTATTTGAACTGAGTTGTCTCTCTATATTAGTATTAATGTATCTAGAATTTCATTTAAAATTTCTTACATTGATTATGTATTGCTGAAATACTAAGAATAGTAAATTTAACAATGTATCTATATTTATGTCTACTTTACGATGGTAAAATATGACATAATTACTTTTTTTTAAATAAATTGTGACACATATTTATTTGTTTAATTTCAGGCCCCATGAGGCTAGATTCGACTAGCTAATGTGCTATATTCTAGCTCCAATATATCCATCGATTGTTACTTTATCTATTTTATAAAATTATATTCTGTTTTATGTTATCATATGGATAATAAAGAAAGAAATAGGTTGATATGGTGAGTAATATAAATGTGTCCGGGATTAATTACTTTATTTTACTATCTTATATTATTAACACTCTTCCATACCAGTCAGCAAATTATCAAAATTATAAGGACATTAATGCATCAGCAATTGAAGCCAAACAACAAGTTTACCAAATTTAGTCTTGTGACGTCAACATGCAAAAGAATTTTAACATCTCAAAAAAAAAAAAAAAAAAACTGATTGAGGACAAGGTCATGACAAGTGTTTTGATGATTTTGAAATTTTGGTTAATTGGTGCATTCAAATGAAAAAAATATTCAATCCTCACCAATTTATCATTTGCACAGAAATAATGTGTCAGGAAAGTTTAGAGAACTTTTCAATTATGACTTCAAACCATTCTATAAATTTGCATGTTATAATTTAACTTGTTTTTGCAGTGTACTATTATTTGTCTGTTACCCCACTGTCTCTTATACACATCTGAAAGTTTAGAGAACTTTTCAATTATGACTTCAAACCATTCTATAAATTTGCGTGTATTTTTAGAATCAATTTCATGGGCAATGTCATTGACATTTTGAAAGTTATTCTTTTTAATATCATTAGGTGTAAATACCACATGACTTGATTTTCAAGTTTAATTAACAATCAGAATTTAAATCTGATAAACATAAAAAAATAAATAGAATTAATGTTGTTTTAAATAAAATATGTATAATTTTAACTATAAACTAGAGTTATTTCTGTAATTAATATAGTTTCTCAATCCAATGTTTTATTTTATAGATTTTAAAATACAGGATGAACTGAAAATTTAATATATATATACAGTAGAAATGATAAATAATAACTTATACAGTGCAACATTTTTATGTTCTATTTTTGTCTTATATTTGTTCAGCTTCAAGAATGAAAATGATTCAAAACCATATCTCCACTGATATGTTATTGACAATAACAACATTCAATATTTTAAATATTATAGAGAAAAAAATTGTGGTAACATATGCCTAGTCTTATTTGTATTATATTATAAACTATTTATGCTATTTTTATCATCATCATCATCATCATCTGTATTCCCTATCGACTACTGCAGTAGGACATGTTCCCAGAATCGCTTCCAACATGTGCGTGAATTGTTTTTTTTTTTATCCCACATTTCCTTCTATAATTGTCAAAGGTTACAGAAGATGAATTGGTATGGTTGTATATGTAACTATTGTGTGATTTAAAAGGATTCAAAGTAATCAGTCCTGAATAGAAGGCCTATCCTCATATTTTTAACTAATTTTAATAATTATATTTTTACTGTTTGGTTATTGTTTCACTAGATCACTGATTTTACTTTACCAAGTGAATATGATTTTTTGTGTTTTATGAAGGACAATAAGTACAGTATTTTCATATATTTGTATCTCACAAATAAAGGTTATTCTTCACAATTAAATACACAAATTATTCAGAGAACAGAGTGTATTTGGCAAATTATTAACCTAAATTAAAATAAAAAAAAAGATAAAAGTACACAACTCATTAGGTCACAAATACATAAATAAATATAAATCTTTGATATCTTACGAGAAATTTACCAGGTTTCTAGGTTTAATGCTTTTCATCATAAGAAAATTCTATTTTAGAATTATAATGCACACATATACTCATCATAAGGAGACAATTTTATTTTAGAATTATAATGCACACAATGAAAGACGTATTAGAGACGACATTACACAGCATATGAATTTATTGTACAAGTCAGTCAAATCCTTTTTTGGACCTCCTCCATACTCCAAACACAACATGCAACTCCAATCGCACAACAGGTACTAGCCTAATGCAATGGCGTAATAATTCAAAAAACAAACATACCTTTTCTAGGAAGCACTCCGCAATTAAAACCGGATCGTGGTCACAATCTTCAAGATCCTTTAAGAATTCTCTGCGAAATTTATGAAAGCAGTGGAAACATAAACGATGTGTATGGTTTATGATCGACACATCAACATTATTAAGAGGATTCAAGCATTAGAAGATACAAGAACCAAAGTCCTCGATAAAAAGACATATCAATCTATAAATAACTTTAGAAAATAATTCATTGGTATTATCATGGTTGGGGTTGTATTTATCATTCATGTCAAATTAGATACCATATATACACTTTAAACTATATAGGCCTACTTACAGTAAGTACATAAATATTATAAATTCAGTAACATACACTAAGTAGTTTATAGTTTACACATAGTATTTTACTATTTTATAACTTGTATTTTCGTATATTTGAAATAACTTAAAGAGAAACTACATTTATACCATTTGTTCTTACCCCAAGTTTACCATGACTCAAATCTAAGCAGTTTTTTTTTTAAGAGCACTTTAGACAATAAGGCCAAACTGAGCAAAAATAAACATGCAAAGCAAAGGAAACTTAATTGACGATACTATGAAAATACACAATGTTGTAACCACCATGAAACCACCAAGGCTCTGAATCTTGCACTATTGAATCATTTTCAAACTTGCGGTTTATATATCGATCAATTGAAAAAAAAGTCTTGATCTAATTAACTTTAAGTATAACAATAATTGAATGAACAAAAGCATTAATGGGGGCCAAGAGGCCAAGGAAGATGAGTCTGAATTTGTCATAATGTTTTTAAACAATTCACCTTAAACCATAAAGGTATATTAAGTACTGGTAGTCAAACCAACACCCTAGAACAAACCAATAGCCAATCGATCTTGACCTTTTAGTGTCCTTACAGTGAAGATATATGCCATAATTTGAGCCTTGCCCTAATTCCACTTCATATCAGAACTTAACAAGGTTCTAAGAGCTAATTTCAATAGCTAGTGTCATGGACAAGGCTAGCACACTATGGGTTAGCTATCAACTCTAGGACAACCAGTGACTTTGGCTATTATCCAACCGAAAGGAGTCAAGATTAAACACTGGGCCCAGTCACCCATAAGGAATGCAAAAAAAGATCGCTTAAATTTATTACCGGTAGTAACAAAGCTGAGAATGAATGATATTAATTTTTTTTTTAATAGGATGTACATGTGAGGTGGAATTTATTGGTATTCAGTTTAGTTAAACATGCGATGAGAGCGGTAGAATATATTGGTGAAATGTAAAGCCAAGTAGTCAAGATTGTTCTTTGCAAAATTCCCCTTTGATAACAGGAAGGGAAGTTGGGCATTGGTGATTTCCTGTGTAGGCCTACACATCAACTGTATATATCATTATCAACACACTTACTGTAAACATCTTTAAAAAAAAAAAATTGGGATTGTTTATTAATGTTTGTTTATATACTGCCTTCAAATGTTGTCCCTACACATCGTATAAAATATTATAAAATATTTCAAATTAACATTTTTTCAAAAAATATTGTAACACAAATAAAAGATTTTAGACCCAGTGGTATTTATTGCCAGCAAGGAGTCAGAGAGGTAATTCCCCCAAATTAGACAAGCATGGACCTCTGCCAATCCGAACAAAGTTATTGTTTCGGCTATCCTAAAACAACCATGAAATCTCTCCCGTGAACTCTACCAGACGGAGGGGCTAGGTGGCATGAGGTTCAGACATGCCTGTCGGCAAACTTTACTCCCTGTTGGGGGCCTCGACTGTTCAGACCAAATTTGAATCATAAATGTTTAGTATAATCGTTAAAATAAGGCATATAAATTTGGGAGAACTGAGCATGCAACATAGCCTTGAAATTGAATGATTGGAATTTCTCCATGCTTGTTTACAACCACATGGAAATTCAACCAGGTTGCTGAGCAGAGAATCATGTGTACTAGGCCTAGAGACAATACATGTTGCGAAAGGGATTGTCAATTTAAGACAGTAATACATTCAAGTGCCTAAAATAATTTTAAAATATATTTTTAAAGCATACTGTACCATATCCATATATTAATCTAGCCCTAGAACAAACCAATAGCCAATCGATCTTGACCTTTTAGTGTCCTTACAGTGAAGATATATGCCATAATTTGAGCCTTGCCCTAATTCCACTTCATATCAGAACTTAACAAGGTTCTAAGAGCTAATTTCAATAGCTAGTGTCATGGACAAGGCTAGCACACTATGGGTTAGCTATCAACTGTAGGACTACCAGTGACTTTGGCTATTATCCAACCGAAAGGAGTCAAGATTAAACACTGGGCCCAGTCACCCATAAGGAATGCAAAAAAAGATCGCTTAAATTTATTACCGGTAGTAACAAAGCTTAGAATGAATGATATTAATTTTTTTTTTAATAGGATGTACATGTGAGGTGGAATTTATTGGTATTCAGTTTAGTTAAACATGCGATGAGAGCGGTAGAATATATTGGTGAAATGTAAAGCCAAGTAGTCAAGATTGTTCTTTGCAAAATTCCCCTTTGATAACAGGAAGGGAAGTTGGGCATTGGTGATTTCCTGTGTAGGCCTACACATCAACTGTATATATCATTATCAACACACTTACTGTAAACATCTTTAAAAAAAAAAAATTGGGATTGTTTATTAATGTTTGTTTATATACTGCCTTCAAATGTTGTCCCTACACATCGTATAAAATATTTCAAATTAACATTTTTTCAAAAAATATTGTAACACAAATAAAAGATTTTAGACCCAGTGGTATTTATTGCCAGCAAGGAGTCAGTGAGGTAATGCCCCCAAATTAGACAAGCATGGACCTCTGCGAATCAGAACAAAGTTATTGTTTCGGCTATCCTAAAACAACCATGAAATCTCTCCCGTAAACTCTACCAGACTGAGGGGTTAGGTGGCATGAGGTTCAGACATGCCTGTCGGCAAACTTGACTCCCTGTTGGGGGCCTCGACTGTTCAGACCAAATTTGAATCATAAATGTTTAGTATAATCGTTAAAATAGGGCATATAAATTTGGGAGAACTGAGCATGCAACATAGCCTTGAAATTGAATGATTGGAATTTCTCCATGCTTGTTTACAACCAAATGGAAATTCAACCAGGTTGCTGAGCAGAGAATCATGTGTACTAGGCCTAGAGACAATGTGTTGCGAAAGGGATTGTCAATTTAAGACAGTAATACATTCAAGTGCCTAAAATAATTTTAAAATGTACTTTAAAGCATACTGTACCATATCCATATATTAATCTAGGTACAGTAAATATAGATGGATAAAAACATGTTTTAGAACCCATAATGAAAATCACTTTCAATCAATCACATTGTGGAAATTCCTATGGGAAGGTGACTCAATAAATGATTAACATTCAGTATGGCAATTGTATTTCACTACAATACTGGCCATACAGGTGTATGCATGTGTCAGAATAGAATGTGGGAGGAGGAAGAGGTGGGAACTAACAACGCTAACAAGTGTACAGTATTCATTTAGTCAATTAGGTTTCAACTTTTAAATAGACATTGAATACTATGAATATTAATAATCTGGACTAGGCTGTTGATAAGTTTGGAATAGTGAATATGACAGTGGAAGACTAAACAAAAATTTGGGCGAGATTTTAAGCATTCTAGTTGTTTGTTTACTTAAACTCTATTAACGCTGAGCACTGTCAGAAACTATATAAACACTGCAGCAATTATTGTTTAAAAAAAAAAAACATGTTGTTCAGACACTGACTGGGTGACATGGACAATATGGATCAGTTATATTTTACCGGCTTAACCACAAAAACACAAGTTGTGACGTAGGTGCATGAAATTTAATAATAGCCTACGTGTTATTTGGCTTTGTTTACAGTAACATTAGATCAATTCTACTTTGATCCTTGACGGTGTTAAGTTTCACAAGTTTTAAACAAAAATGTTTTCTGACAATGAAACCCCTATTAAATAGCTAATTGGCTATAGGGTAACCACAGAGGTTCAACAATGCACAATATTTTATTATGGCAGATTCTGATCTAATATATAGGCCCTAGTATTATCTTTCCTCTCTATGTACTTTGCTGTACTTTAAGGCATTCAACTTTGTCAAACAATCTTATATTGTCATAATAAAATCATGGTAATTTGTCACCTTACTGTGTCAATCATTATCAATACTCAAGTTACATTGAAAATCATTCATTTTAATAAATTCATACCAAACTGCAGCTATGTCATTTGTTTTTCTGTCAATTATTGCAGATATTTCAAAAATAATTGTAAAATACGATGCTTGAGCGCCCACCATTTTGTTGTTAACCGTGAAAATAATAATAGTAAATTAATGGAAATAATTGGCAAATTAAGTTACATAAAAATGTACTGTCCCCTGAAAATGACATAAATCATTAAAAAAATCATTAAAAATGTAAAAATGTGTAGGCATACAGTACTCTAGATTTTTATACTGGATAGTGATATATATAAAAATAATAGAGCACTCCTTCCAGTGTTTTTATAATTTTTGCTGTAAAATTTATGGGTAAACATTTGTTATAATACTAATTTCTATGTTCAAGCTGATAATTTTTATGTTACTTTAAATTGAGTAAGTTAATTTCAAAAATGAATTTATGATTTTTTTTGTATTTTGCATAAAACAATACACCTTTAAGTAAGTTCATCATCATCATCATCCTCATCATCATCATCATCATCGTCATCAGTAACATCTTTCATCATAACCCTCTCCACTATTTCGACCCATTTGCTTCTGTAATGGGCAGGATGGTTTTGTGTTTTTTTTTTTTCTATTGCGTGTTAATTTAACCAATTTATGGTATAGCCATAGATATGCTCCATCCCTAGTTTAGCAACTTACGTATATGAAAAGTTCAGTGGATATATTCTATTCAGTACCCCCCTTTTCAAAGTCTTGGATATGCCACCGGTATAATACAAATACCAAAATTAGGGTGGTGTCACTAGTCTCCCCAGTCCAGTTGGACAGACAAGCATGGACCTCTGTTTTCAGACTCAAATTAATTTGTGATATAACCTAAATTACCGATTGCAGTTCCTAATATTGTGGTCTAAACAATTTTTACTATCCTAAACTTTCAAATCTGTCTTTAAATCATCCACCAAGGATTTTATTCTAGGAACATGACTGGAAACCCTAAGTGACTCCTTGGTTTGGACTCCCTGTCAGATTTGTTTGACCACTTGTTCTTGGGCCACTTGAAGGCAAAGGCCAACAACCGACACAAATTTTTTTTATGTACTTTTTGAACAGAGTGGTGACAGCGAACAGAAAACACTAGGAATAAAAGCAACCACTATAAAAAGCAAACTCTTTTTAACTGTATAATCCTTGGTAAACATTATTATAATGTGGCATAAGATGCTGTGGTTTTGGTGAAAGAGGAATGGGATTTACAATATTTTACAACTATTTATTGATTTCGAGGTCATCGGCCTATGACACACTGACCCTGATGTTTAAAAAAATCAATAATATTCAACAATGCTATGAAAGCTTGTTATTGTATTAAGAGTACGATACCCATCCTGGGGAATGGAGAATCAACAAGGGTTAAACAGGCAATGGTCATTGTAAAAGTGCCTACGAACTGCAAAGAGTATTACAGATGGTCATTGTAGTACTGAAGTGTCCAAAATCGGTCTTGGGGGCATTACTTAGGAAGTCAACTACTGTGCAAGGTTACCAAGTGTTATCTTAAGCTTTGGTGTTATAAAAACACAAATATAAATATATTAAACGTAAACATAAATATAAATCTAATAAATATAATAAAATAATAAATATAAATTTATAATTATATTATAAGGCCTATTTAAAAAATAAATAAATATTAATTTAAAGATGTTTGTGTAAAAATAAAAAAATTAAAAAATAAAAATTAATTAATTTAATATTAGTAAAATATCACCTAGCTGCTCATTACCTTACTATATTTAATTTTAATTTATTATTATTTACAATTAATATAAAAGTTGCATCATGCATTAAAATAAAAATATGATTTAGTTCACTGATTATAATGAACAATCTCTTACTTAGGCTATGTACAGTGTTCTTGCTCTATCATTACGGTATCTAAAAGAACAACTCTGAGTTATGGACCACTATCTCCTTTGCAGGATAACGATAGAAAATGCCACAAATGTAGACATGTGTGTGTAAGCCTAGAATGTAATTACTATAAATAGATAATTTCCCGAAGAAAAGGTAATAAATTAAAGGACTTACTTGTTGAAGTCACGAATAGATTCCAAGTTGCTGAAGAGTGCTTGGTAATCTTCGGGTTTCAATGGCAAAGTTGGCCGGTCCAGAATTGCTAATAAATAACCCTGTAACCAAAACAGTCAAACAATTTCACATGAAATTCTTCCTGCATTTTTTCCTGTAATTTATAAACAATGTTTATAAATTATTATAAATATTTATGTTAAGGTATATGTTGTAACTAGTAGAACACTTAAGTCCATAGTATAGGCCTACCGGTATTTTAAAAATCTTTACCTCATTGGTACCGGTATATTGAAGGAACCACGGTAAGGCCAAAAAAAATAAATTTTTGGGAAAATCCATAAAAATGGGTAGGTCGGTACAGAAGGAAAACTTTTTTTTTTCAACAACCAAATACAAAAAGTAGAAGATACACAAATAACACAACAATTTTGGATTCACATAGCGTACCATTTAGCAACATAGGCTCTCCTTGGCCCCTAGCCTTGCGAAAGGCTATTCCAGACATATTTGGTCATAAAAAAATATTGTTCGTTGTCAAAAAATACAATACCGACCCTTAATTTCATAAAATTTGGGTCGGTCGTCTTATTTGTTTCTCTTTACGTACATTGCACTATTTTGTTTGATCGAATACATAAATCACAGTTTTTTCCATGTTTCCCAAAAATCAGCGTATAATCTCTTGCCCTTCCGCGAGCAAGCAAAAAGTCGCCCCGATGTTAACTAGCCATGTGTATTAAAATATGCAGGAAATACAATACAAAAAAAAGCTAATTAAGTCGAATACAGTATCCCAGAAGTAGCTTTTCCTAACTAGGGGCCTACTGTAGCACTAAAAAAAAAAAAAAAAATGAAATAGGTTAATCTTTTAATGTGGTATTCAACATCTTTATTAATATTATGATGTGAATTCAAATATGTTTGTTAGCACTGGAATTTTCTCTTAGGCCTAATTAAAAAAATGTATTAGTTTATCCTATCAAGGCCAGAAAAGTGATGAGGGAGGGATGTGAATTCAAATATGTTTGTTAGCATTGGAATTTTGCATTGATATTATAAAATACATGATTGTGATTAAAAAATGAAATATGTTAATCTTTTAATGTGGTATTCATCTTCTTTTTTATTTTTACAATGTGAATTCAAATATGTTTGTTAGTATTGGAATTTTGCATTGATATTATAAAATACATGATTGTGATTAAAAAATGAAACATGTTAATCTTTTAATGTGGTATTCATCTTCTTTTTTAATTTTACAATGTGAATTCAAATATGTTTGTTAGCATTGGAATTTTGCATTGATATTATAAAATACATGATTGTAATTAAAAAATGAAATATGTTAATCTTTTAATGTGGTATTTATCTTCTTTATTAATTTTATGATAAAAAAAAAATACTATAGAAAAGACGCAGACAGGGATGATAAACTACTGTAATCATTTTTTTATTGGGCTTTTTTTATTAAGGCCGGCTACAGACAGCCGACTGCCGCTGATGGTTTGTACTGTAATTAAAAATAAATAATAATCATCATCATTGATTTCTATAATCTCGTCTGAAATGAATCAAGTCGGCAACCGACGTCACATCATACGCAGCTTCAATTGAATTATATTTTCACCTACTAATTGAGGACAGACAATATGCACATATGCTTTCATCTCGCTTATATTTCACATCCACCGAACATTACGGCACTTCAAGATTTCAGTTAATAACACGACTGATAGGTTATTCCCCTACAAGGTAAACAATGAAGCCTTCACATAATTATTGATAATCATCCTCTAACAGCCTACATTTTAACAAGCTCATCATTTTCTACTACCAGAATAATTTCAAACACGTTTCACCATTTTTTGGAAAATAAAAGAAAAATTAAAAAATTAAATTGTACTCACTGTCCAACAAATTATCGTGTGTATCCCTATAAAGTTTTATGACTGTCCCTTTAAGCATAGCATAACATGGCTGTCCAATTAAACACACAACAGTTTCGCACAACTGTCTAATTAATGACTAAATCCCTTTGAACACAGAATCTCATAACCATCTCATTAGACAGAGATACAAGTTTTTACCAATTTGCCACTAGTCACCAATCACCAGTGACAGCACCAAGATTCCCTGACTTATAATGGGAGATTCAAAGTTTCAGACAAAAGGTCAAATTTCCCTGACAGGGGTCCACACGGACACCCAGCCCCGCCATGTTTGGAGGAAATAGAAGAATGCATCTCTAGATACCCAAAAAATGTTTTTATTGTAGCAATGTTCCTTGACAAAATGATTGGTTGGCTTCTTACATGACGGAGTGGTCCAGGGTTCCCCGATGAGGTTCCTGTTTCCCCTGTACCCCAATGCTGGCATTGCCAAAGCCTGTCACAACCATCCTTTTTAACACAGACTATTATGACTGTCCCTTTAAATGCATTGTAAAAAGACTGTTCCTTAAAACATAGTAGACTATCTGAATGTACAATACTACTTCTACTATACCTACTAAACATCAACACATCTCATGATATTTTACTGGGAAACAGGTGAAGCTTTAGCAATAGAGTACAAACAGCTGTTACCACGACAAGAAGAGAAACATGGTGAGGAAAATGTACATGGGTCAACGACACAATGGTTTAGTATTTACTTCTAGGGTGGTAGGTTCAAATCATCTTTAAAGTCATTTGTACAAGATATGGATATGCACAAATGCAAATATGCATTTTAAAAAGATTGCATATTAATTGAGATACTATAAAATGTTTAATAAAACAAAAATCTCAAAACTTTTTGTGAAGAAAAAAAGTTAAAACAAGGGAAAATATTTTCCTTATTTTCAAAAAAACATTCATCAGATGTGAAACTTTCATTTGGCCTTTTTTACTGTCTGATAATTAACACAAATTACCAAAAATACAATTTTTGCAGCATTACAATTTGGTTTTAATATTCAGTAACTACATATTTTACGTTACATTTTTTCAAGTTGGATTACAAACCCTCAATTATTGGATAAATGCAATTCCGTAGTGGCATGCATGATAGATGTAAAACACTAACCAGATTGACAACAATTTTTGTTGCACAAGAAATGCTAACACAGACAGATCAATCATGCGTTAACTAGTTAATGTTTTTAACACAGGAATTGATGATGACATACAGTTAAGAGGTCATAGGTCAATCCATTCAGAATTTAGGAATAGTGTTGAGTCATTATTTGGTTTGAATGGATATATTTTGCTGTTTGATGATATGCATTCCACAATTTGTGACTGACAGTTCTCTCATTTTTTTAAATCTATCAACAAAATAGACAAAACAAATACTAAGAATTCTGAATTTTCCAATATACAACAGTCACTTTAAAGAAATATTATTTAGAAAGTGAATAATTTTACTATCTTAAATTATCTTATGACCGGTCTTGTGATACCAGCGATATGATCTTGCACACAACGAGACAGTGGCTGCGTTGAGGTGTCTATCTTGTAGAGCATGATCACTTATTAAATTAAACAGACGATAATTTATAGACTTTTGAATTTGATGAACTAAATTATTATGAATTCATGTCTAGTTTAAAGTTGTAGCAAGTTAAATTTAGCAGTTGAAAGACAAAATAATAATTTCAACCTAAATTGCATATACTTTAGATACAGTATTTGCAAACATAAATTTCAGCAGCTTACATTAACCCATATGCTATGTTAATTTCAACAGTTGAAGTATGTGCATTGCATCAATTTAAGGAATAACATTAAAGGTTAAAGGTTATACATACTACATACAAATTATATTATTGTTAAAAAGTATTTCAGCAACTATACTAATTTGAGCAAAGCTGCAAATATTTGGAATACATTATTTTTAACAGCTGTTGATGAAGTCACTGCATGCAAACTGGTCTTTACCACTGAATTCATGTTGTTCTAAATGCAGCACAAAGTGGCTATCCAATGAACTAGTTAACAGTAACTCGATTTTTTGTTAAATTGCCTTTAGGCTATACAGTACTTTTTGTGGTTATATGAAAAGACACTCCTCAAACATCCAATTTCAAAAACATTAATACATTTTTAACTACATTTGAATAAGTTAATAATTCCTTGAGAAAAAAGGATCAAAACAAGTCAGTTAAAAAGGTAATTTACAGACCATCACTATAGAAATTCTAAAATTTAATTCATTACCACCAAATTTAGAGTCATTACAATATATAATAATGATATTTTTATGCATTCAAAATGAAGATGATATTATTTTGTTTATTCCAATTTTCAATTTAAAATGGGCCAATTTAGTAAAATACAGTATTTAGTAATACTGTAATCAATGTAATGTTTAAAATTTACTTTTAAGTTTATAGTGCAACATAGATAATATTCCTTTAACATAATAAAAATGTTCCAAGGGTTTTGTAGATAAAAAGAAAAGGCTACAGTATGTAAATTTCCAAAGGAGGACAGTAGTTATAAGTGTTACTATAATACAGTCTAGTACCGTACAGTATAATTAATACTACGTTAAACAAATAGAGCTCTAGTGGTCCTCTTCTATGATCAATGGTAAATCACAAGTTTTGTAAAGGCGATCATATTTGATTACCTTGAGTCTTAGAAAAGAACCATTTACTGTACAGTTAACTGTACTTGTATTGATTATTGGATCCGATGAATTTCTTCAATATAGGCTAACTTAGTAAAATATAACCAATTTAAGTATAGTAAGTATAATTAAAAACCATGTTTATAAGCGCAACGTAACAATGTATCTAATATAATATAAATGCTTAAAGTGTTCCTATAGGTACACTAAAAGGAAAGGCTATAGTATTGAAATTTTCGAAAGACCTGTTAACTGTACAATAAGTGTCGATATATAACAAGTTCTGCTTTGCTTGAATAGAATGTTATGTGCAGAAGGCGATTACTTTTTATTACCTTGGGCTATAGAAAAGAAATATATTTACTGTACAGCAAGCTGTATTTATTATTGGATCCAATGAACTTCCTCAATACTATGTAACATGGCAGATTAATTGTCTACGAATAAGAAGACCAGTGAAATGTACAATTTGTTAGTATTTGAA